GGCTTTAGCTGGGTGGTGGGGTAGGTTGCTTATGGTCATGACTATATATTTGTATACCTAATAATTGCACTTTCCCTTTAAGACCTCAAAAATGGGATTCCATTCAATGGCTTGAAGGAAAATGTATATGCTGCCATTACTTTGCTAGAATTTACCAAAAAAAAACGTTTTTTGCCAATGAGCTCTGGTAACATAGTGATTTATACATTGGACTGCTCACTGCAAGGTCAGCAGTTAGAATCCACCAGCTGTTCCATAGGGGAAAGAAGAGGCTTTCTGTTCCTGTAAAGATTTAGAGCTTACAAACACTACTTAAGGTCACTATGAGCGGGAATCGACTTGACGGCAGTGAGTTTGGGTTTTAGCACTTTCTCTGTCTCATGCCAACATCTGGGGCTTGAGGACATGTGCTTCCTTTTTCTCTACTTCCCTAGAAGAACGGGCAACATCATAGAGTAGTTTAGAGTATGAGCCATAGGTTTAGACTGCCTAGGTTCATTCAAATGCAGACTCTATAACAGTTTTAAGTGCCCAGAACCCCTTATGTACAGCTTCCGCATCTCTAAAATGGAATAATAGGACCTGCCCGCAACACCATAAGGAGTTGTGAACTTCCTCAAACAATGCTTAAACCCATTGCCACGGAGTTAATTCTAAATAACAGAGACCCTGAATGACAGGGTACAACTATCCATAGGGTTTCCAAGGCTGTAATTTTTAAGGGGAGTCCTGGTATGGCACTGTGGGTTAATGCCCCAGAGTGCAAAGCCATTAGAACTGTAAGGTCAGTGGCTCAAGCTCACCAGCTGCTCCTCTGAAACCCTATAGAGGGTCACTATGGGTCTGAATCGACTCAACGGCACTTCACAACAACAACAACAACAATTTTTAAGGTAGCAGGCCTCTGCATCTTTTTCATGCCAAGGGTTTGAAATGCCAATGTTTTAGTTAAGAGCTGAGTGCTTAACCATCATACTACCAGGGATCCTTAAACAGTGTTTGGTGTTTAGTGAGCACCCAATCATGTTACTGTGAGGAGGTACTGATATGCCACAGTGGAAGGAGTCCTGTGACTGAGAAAGGAGTAAGAGATGAGTGTCAGAGATTACTATGGTTTCTAAGAGAAATTCTGATTTGTTTTGTCAAGGCTCTTAGAAATAGATTATTGTGTATGAGAGAGAGACAAGACCAGCCTTACAAGGAGAGTCTGTGGCCTCCACATGGTGTGACATTCAGCCAACCTTTCTGACTCCATTCAGATTCATTCTTCATGAGGCCCAGATTCTCCAAGACCACAGACAACACATGACTTTATGTAATTAGAGACAAAGGTTATAAAGCAAACAGGAGACAGATATGTGTTCTTCCCTTAGTGTAATTTTGAGGTAATAGGAGGTAAAGGGCCGGGGTCATTGGGTGAAATCTGGTGGAGCAGACAGTAGCTGTGAGAAGTATAGAAAGTAAGGTGCATGGAATGGGGAAAAAAATGTCAGAGAAAGAGAAAAGGATTCAGTAAGGGAAGGTGAAATGCCAAAGAGTCCGAGATCCCCCATTTATTTTCCTCTCTGAAGGCTGGATGGGACAACATAGCATTTCCTGTGTTTGGGGGCACCATTTAAAAAATGTTCATGATTAACTAATTATAATAGTGGTTAAATAGTTAATAGCACTATTATTCAAATTTACACACCAATCACTAAAGCCAGTCATGATGAAATTGAAGAATTGGAATGCAAAGGTTGGAAACAAAGAGGAAGGATCAGTATTTGTAAAATATGACCTTGGTGATAGAAATGATGCTGGAGATGGCAAGATATAATTTTGCAAGACCAATGACTTCATCATTGCAAATACTTTTAAACAACATAAAATATGTTTTGTAGATGACTATACACATGGACCTCACCAGATGGAATATGCAGAATGCAAACTGACTACAACTGTGGAAAGAGACGATGGAAAAATTCCATATCATCAGCCAAAACAAGGACAAGGGCAGATTGTGGAACAGACCATCAATTGCTCATATGCAAGTTCAGTCTGAAGTTGAAGAAAATTAAAACAAGTCCACAAGAGCCAAAATATGACCACCTGAATTAAGTGATCATCTGAAGAACAGATTTATGTATTAGACACTAAAGATCAAAGATCAGAACATTTGTGAGATGACATCAAGAATATCATACAGGAAGAAAGCAAAAGGTCATTAGTAAGACAAGAAAAAAAGAAAAGACCAAAATGAATGTCAGAAGAGATTTTGAAACTTGCTCTTCAGTGTAGAGTTGCTAAAGCAAATGAGAAAAATAAGGAGGTAAAATAGCTGAATAGAAAAATTTAAAAACTAGCTCGAGAAGACTGAGTCAAATATTATAATGAAATGTGCAAAAACCTGGAGTTAGAAAACCAAAAGGAAAGAATGCACTCAGCATTTCTCAAGCTGAGGTAACTGAAGAAAGAATTCAAGCCTTGACTTGGAGTATTGAAAGAATCTATGGACAAATTATTGAATGTAGAAAGCATCAAATGAATATGGCAGGAAGACACAGAGTCACTGTACCAAAAAGAAATGGGCAATGTTCAACCATTTCAAGAGGTAGCAAATAATCAAGAGTCAATGATCCTAAAGGAAGAAGTCCAATGTTCGTTGAAGGCACTGGGAATTGATGGAATGCAAATTGATATCTTTCAACAAACTGATGAAGCATTGGAGGCACTCACTCTTCTATTCCAAGATATTTGGAAGACAACTACCTGGTCAACGGACTGGAAGAGATCCTATTTTTACCCATTCTAAAGAGAGATGTCCCAACAGAACGCTGAAATCTTCAGATAATATCATTAATATCACACATAAGCACAATTTTGCTAAATATAAAAATGGCAGCAACCATTCAAGGACAGAGAACTTCCAGAGGCTCCAGCCAGATTCAGAAGAGGACATGGAATGAGGGATATCGTTGCTGACGTCAGATGGATCTTGGCTTAAAGCAGAGAACACCAGAAGATGTTTACCTGTGCTTTACTGACCAAGGGAACACCAAATCGTTTAAAATTAGGAAAAGTGTGCACCCAGGGTTATGTTCTTATTCAATCTCTATGCTGAGCAAATAATCCAAGAAACTGGATTGTATGAAGAAAAACATGGCATCAGGATTTGAGGAAGAGTCATTAACAATCTGCCATATAGAGATGATACAACTTTGCTTGCTGAAAGCCAAGAGGGTTTAAAATACTTACTGATGAAGATCAAAGATCACAGCCTTTGGTGTGGATTGCATCTCAATGTAAAGAAAACAAAACGTCTCATCAGTGGACCAATTAACAATATCCATAAAAATGGAGAAAAGATTGAAGTTGTCAAAGACTTCATTTTGCTCAGGTCAACCATTAACACTCATGGAAGCAGCAATCAAGAAATCAAACGATGGGCAATTCTGCTTCTCAAGACATCTTTAAAGTGTTGAAGAGCAAAGATAGCAGTTTGAGGACTAAGGTGCACCTGACCCATGTCATGGTATTGCAATAACCTCATATGCATGTGAAAATTGGACAGTGAATAAGGAAGACCATAGAAGAGTTGATGCATTTGAGTTATGGTGTTGGAGGAGAATATTAAAAGTACCTAGACTGCCAAGAGAACAAACAGATCTGTGTTGGAAGAAGTACAGTCAGAGTGCTGTCTCTCATACTTCAGACGTATTATCAGGAGGGACCAGTCCAAAGAAGGATATCATGTTTGGTAAAGTAGAGGGTTGTAGAAAGAGAGGAAGACCCCCAATGAAATGGATTAGCAAAGTGGCAGCAACGATGGGCTCAAAGATAGTAATGATCGTGTGGTTGGCTCAGGACAGGGTAGTTAGTGTTTCATTCTGTTGTCATAGAGTCACTATGAGTTGGTCCCAACTAGATGGCACCCAACAACAACAACCAGCTGCCAGGTATTATAACTGGTGTTGTCAAAACAGTAGGAGATAGATGTTGATCTAAGAAACATACAATTTAAGAAATATGCAAGATTTCTGATGGAATATAATCTGTTCATAGCTATGAGGCTTAAAAGACCTTGGTTTCTTTGAGAAATGGAAAGGAGACCAGTGTGACTAGAAAAAAAGGAAAGAAGGAAGAGTGTATAAGTTGGACTAACAAGAAGGTGGGCCCTGTCAGCCATGTTAGGAATTGAGGAATTTATTTTAGGTGCTTCCAGTATCTATCAATTGCGTGAGAAGGTTGTAAACACCCTTCCTTTGGAGATGAGGAAACTGGCTTGTCCACAGTTTCTAAAGTATGAATCAGAGCAGGAAGTAGATATCAGGTCATCTGATTTGAAATCTAGGGGATTGGTACGCTATATTTTCATTCCCCTGGGTTTACATTGTAGAAATGTCCTCCAAATGCAGCAGACTTGATTCAGTTGTATTTAACCTGAGGTCAAGATCCTTTACTAAGTAGACAAAATGTTCCTTTTGCCCACATCTTCCCCATCTTCAAGCCCACTGCCTATGTAAGTCATGTACCAGGAGGTCCGCCATTTTCTCCAGCATGTTGGACCAATGGAGCCTGAAGGTCTGGTCTCCCCATGAACTGATGAAGTAGACACAGGGCTTCCTGGCATCAAATGGCAAATAGTTGTAATTCCTGAAAAAAACAAAAAAACACACACATATTAGGCCTGGAAGTTAGTTGGTAATCATAGTTTTCTATCAATGCAACCATGTGTTCAAGTTGCATGTTTGTTTCATTGTGATTGAAGTGAACCTTTTCAGAGTAAATTGGTTTTCCATTCAACAATATATACACAGTTTGTTTTGTGACATTGATTGCAATCCCCACAACAAAACAATACTCTTTACACTTCTAACCTGTGTTTACCATTTTCCTTCAAGCTTTTTTTTTTTCTATCCCTTCCCAACTTCTGAGCTTTAACCCTGAGCAAATATTGCCTTTTTGATTGTTCTAAAGAGTGCATACATCCCTGGTATTACTGTTTACATGGTCAAGTTTTGTGTATTGTGAACAAGGTGGGTGGCCAGGGTAGTGACTATTAGCTCCATCTTTAGCTTCTAACTGGGGAGCCCTTGAACAAGAGCAAATGAAAAGCCATGTGACTACAAAGGAGAGATTCTAACAGCAACCATGAAACTCAGGGCAAATTTTCAAATGATCACAGCAGGATTTATTAGGCAAGCCCCCCAAAAGGAAGGTCTTCAGTTGAGAGAAGAAAGAGGGGGAAAAACAATTTCTTTTTTTAAAGTGTCTATAAGCCTGACATTATGTAGGCATCTAGTAAAATAACAGATATGCTTATATTTGTAAACTGACATTATTAGAGAAATTTAAGAGGGTAATGCTATTATAATGACAACAACAATTGTATTAAGGAGGGTGATGGCAGCTGCCCTTGAACTGAACTGTGCCATCCTCACCAAACAAATCTTTAGTGTTCCATGGCTTGCTATCCTTCCATCCATCCATCCATCAAATATGCATTACTGCCACTTATTTGTGTTAATAATGAAGGCGACTGGCTTCTGAGAGGCAAGATGGATAGCACCATCACCAGTAGGGGCATATGCAGCCAAATGCCAACTCTAAGGGTGACAGTTGGATGTGTTTAAATATTGATGAGAAGGTAAAAAGTTGAGACTAAAGACAGGAGAGGAGATCATTTGTAAATGTTGGTTCCCAAGGAGGAAGGGAATAAGGTACAGGAAAAAGTTGAAGAAGCTCCCTGCCTAATGACAGCTGTTTTCATGAGTAGGTTGCCCCATGACCTTGGGAATTTGCCCCCAAATACCGAGGATGGCTGAAGGAAGACCACGGCCAAGTTCTTAGAATGAGCATGGTAGGACAGGTGAGCCTGAAAACTGTGAAAAATGTTTGGAGCAACGTGCCTGTGGAGAGAAAGAGAAACTGGGAGAGAGCGTTTTGTTTCCATTCTAAAAAAAAATCTAAAGAAAACTCAGCTAGAAAAAGTGGATGGTTATTCTTTTTAGCTTGCTAACCCAAATTTGTTCTGAAGGAGACAATAAAATTAGCAAAGATGCCCCCCATGGCCTGCTCTGCAGAAAATAAACCAGCAGGTGTCTATTCAGAAGAGAAGCCAATAAGTTCTTGGCAGAAACTGACATCATTATTGCAGCGAGAACACAACAAAGGTTAGAATTCAAACTGCTCTCTTTATATTTTATATTAGCTCTTTTTAAATGACTGCACAGAGAATCCTTCTACTAAATAAATACCCAGCCCATATTGCATGTTGTTCCTAAGTTTCTTTGGTTTGGATGATTCTGTGCTAATGATGGTCAAGCCTTCCTGGTCTTACTGGGCCAAAACGGACCCGGAGGCTGTGGCTTCTTGGGAAAACTGCAGTGCAGATGGAGGACAGCAGATGGAAGGATGCTGTGTTTCCAGTCGAACGAAAAGACTGCCAGTTTGACAGCTGTCCTGACAGAGAACCAGCCTGTGACTTTCAGCCAGGGCAGGCCTGCTGCCATCCTGAGAATCAAATGATGACCCGCCACATTCCCTGTCTCCAACACCAATCTCATTTCCACTGTACGTTCATGCACACGCTTTATCAACTGGGAAGGTCAGGAGAAACACAAGTGATATTGAATGGAAGTAGAAGGGTCTGCTGCAGAAGACAAATGTGTGCGCTCTGTGCATGTTTGTGTGCATGTATCACATGTGCTGCTGTTGATGTTGTTAACTGCCCTCCACGGTCAGTTCTGACTCATAGCAAGCCTGTATAAAGTTTTCAAGGAGTGGCTGGTGGTTTTGAACTGCTAATCTTGCAGTTAGTAGTCTAGTGCTTATCCTAAAATGACACTAAGCATGTGTAGGGGTCTGTTACAGACACAGAGTCTTTGAAGTCATCTGCTGTGTTCTTGGCTTGCCACTATGTGGACAGAGCCTCAATATGGTGACTTAGAAATATACCGAAAACCCAACTGTTCCCACAACCAGCAGTATGGCTTATTTTGGTCTCCTCAGGTCAGCCAGCCAGCACTACTATGAGATCCATCTAGAGCCCACCTTGAGGTTCTCAGCTCCTCTAAAACCCTTCCCACACTTTGTTGCAAGTGATCTTCTCTTTTTGGTTGACCCTCAACTTTACCAAATATGATGTCCTTCTCCTCCTGGCACTTGTTCCTCAAGATAGCATGTCTGAAGTATGAGAAATAAAGTCTCATCATCCTGGCTTCTAAGGAGCATCTGATTGTGCTGCTTCCAACACAGATATGTTTGTTCTTCTGGCAGTCTGTGGTACTTTCAGTATTCTCCCATACCATAGTTCACAGGCATCAATTCTTCTATGGTCTTCCTTACTCCTTGTCCAGCTTTCACATGCATATGAGGCTTTTGAAAATATCATGGTTTTGGTCAGATGCACCTAACTCCTCAAACTGACATCTTTGCTCTTGAACACTTTTAAAGAGGTCTTGTGCAACAAATTTGCCTAATGAAATACGTTGTTTGATCTCTTGACTGTTGCTTCCATGAGTGTTAATTGTAGATCCTAGCAACATGAAGTCTTTGACGATTTCAATCTTTTCTCCATAATTTACTCAAAAACATTTGTGATCACTGTTGTTGTTGTTAGGTGCCATTGTGTCAGTACTAATTCATAGTGACCTTATGTACAGCAGAACGAAACACTGCCCGATCCTGGGCCAACCTCACTATTGTTGTCACACATGAGTCCATCGATGCTGCCACTTGACCAATCTATCTCGTTGGGGGTCTTTCTTTTTCTCTGACCCTCCACCTTACCAAACATGATATCCTTCTC